AGCCAATCTCTTGTGCTAACTCTCACAAAAGATCAGACTGCTGTCTGACCTTTTTCCTGTCAGCTCACAGCACTGTCTAACACAGACTCTCTCCTAGCTCTCTCCCTGAAAACCCAGTTTCAAACTCTACACCTTCACACACCAGCTCCCAGCTCTCAAGTTCCACTACCTTCTTTCCCTCCTCAGACTTGGCTCCTCCCAACTGCTCTGGCCAATCCTAGGAGTCTCTAAACTCCTCCCCTCTTCCAACTATCCTCACTCAAGATGGCTGCCTCCCTGGCATTCCCTCCTAAAATTGAGGCCTGTCTTACTGTTATCCAGGCTCCCTTTCCAGCCTACCAGGCAAGATTCACCACACCTCCCCAATTCCAGAACAATTTCTAGCAGCAGATAGGGCAGATAATTAATTATCCTTCCCATACAGGTTCATTCTCTCACACCAGAAGCGTCTTGCAGTTTCTCAAGTCGCTTCTGATACACACACAAAAGCTTCTTCTGTACCCTCACAGTCTGCTCCAGAGAACTAAATGGCCCCTGAAAGTCCACTGGGTTGGAATTTTGTTTGTACCCCATGACACACAGTATAGACTAGAGCATTACCGATTTTCCCTTCCTCCCTGCCCCTTAATTGTTGATGCTTTCTGGAATAGGCATAACCCCTTCGGCTTGAACAAGAAATCATCCAGCAGGTACAATTTACCAGTAAGTTCTTCTCAACTTTTCCTATAGGAATGAATGAGAGCTATGCAAGCATAGGGTGACATCTTTGATTGCTCCTGTTCATTCAAGTGCCTCTTTTATCTCCATTATATCTGATTTTGAGGTCTCTTTTTCTCTAAAAACAAAAAGGTTTTTCAGAAATTAGTCACCTGTACTTGATTTGTTTCAGTTTCAGCTGTTGGATTTATTGTTTTGGATTTGGCTGCAATCCTGCATATAGTTAAGCAATTTCAGTGTTGATTATATTGCAAGTACAACTTAGGGTTTTTTTTGTATGGGGCAGGGCTTACCTAGAGGCACTACATCCTGGGAAGCTAAGAAAACTGTATAAAATTCATGGGGTCAGCATGAATCAATAGGCAACTAGACGGCACAGACATACACAGAAATTATTCAATTTCAACATGTTTAGCAGAGGTTTTCAATGGAACACTGACCATTCAAATCCATTGGTAGCTTTGCCTCTAGCAGAAACCTTGAAATGAATAGGTCTTAAATAAATAAAGTCACATTTATTTCAGTAGGTCTAAGTAGTCTAAGTAATAGAGGGAGATGGGGAGACCTGGGGGTGTGTGTGTGTGTGTGTGTTAAGATGCTGAAAAGGTGGGTTCACTCTAAGTTTAATGGGTTTACTCCAGTAGGAAATAAAAACCTAGATTCTGGCTATAAGTAAGTCTGATGAAAGATGGGATCATCTGAAACAGGATTGCATAGATAGCATCTTGTCAGCAAATACAAAATTCCCACGACTCTGAATCCAAATAAGATTGACTTGAGAAATTTGCCAAGCAAGCTTATGTCAGACTCAAGTCTCTCCATATTAAAATTTTTGCATACAAAATGTTGCAGGTTCAGTCTTTGGCATCTCCTGTCCTGGTTCTATGGTATAAATTGAATTTGTTGCATGCCTTCAAGTTGTTTACAATTTATGGTAACCTGTCTATGGTATTTTCTGCTCTTCCAGACAGACCCTATATTCCAGGATCTGATCCCTAGTTTTCTGTTTATCCCAGATTATCTGGCAGTGCAGACTCATATCCAGTTTAAAGCAGAAAACCTGGGATCAGATCCAAGGAAAATGGGATAAAACAAAAACCAAACATTCAGAACTATTCTTACATTATATCATCACATGTGGGGCTTAAAAGCCTGTCTGGAAGGGTCCCTCGTCTCCAGAGTCATGTTCCGACACTCAAACCACAACACCATACTCCTTAATTTTTCTTTTAATATATTTTATTATATCACACAAAATTTAGACTTTTGTTCTCCTGATAGCACAAAATGTTGTTCTCTTAAAGTTTTGTTTGTGACATTGAGAAAGAATGAGAGAAGGACATGGAGACGAAGGGCTACTACAAGTTGAACATCCTTTACCTGGAAGTCTAAAATCCTGAAAGGTTTTAAGCATGTAGTCTTACTATAGGTTGAACATCCCTGATCTAGATGCTCCAAAACCCAAAACTGTCCACATAGGTGGTTGAGATAGTGCCACCTTTGCATTCTGCTGGTTCGGTGCATCTACATTGTAGAATGAATACAGTTTGACATCACTTAGTGCCATGGCTTAGTGCTATGAAATACTGAAAGCTGCATTTTTACAAGGTCTTTAACCTTCTCTACGAAAAAGTGCTAGTTACCCACCAGACTACAACTTCCAAGATTCCATCATGTTGAGCCAAGGCAGTTAAAGTGCTGTCAAATCTCAATTCATTTTACAGTGTATATGCACCAAAGGTGCACATAAATGCACATAATATTTGTGTTTAGACTTGGGTTCCATCTCCAAGCTATCTCATGATGTTGCTTTGCTTTTGCTTTAGGCGATCCCTTGTAGCCCGAGGATGATGGTCCTCCAAGACTGGTATGTATAGGCAGATACCTACACAGATATTCCAAAATATGAAAAAAAAAACCCAATGTCTTTGATCTTATGTATTTTATAGTTTCATCTGAGTATTTTTATTGTGTTGCTCAATGCCTTGAATTGTGAAAAGAGTTGGGTACAAGCAAAAACAATGAAGATGAAACACAAATGAAATTCATGTTTAGACTTGGGTCCTATCTCCAAACTGTCTCATGCTGTGTGTATCAGAAAATACCTGTATGGGCATTCCAAAATACAACAGCAGCAGCAGCAGCAGCAACAACAACAGCCAAACAGTTTTGTTTATAAGATCTTTCACCTTCTCTGCCACAGAGTACTCATCCAATTCCTTGTATTGAACCATAGCAGTTAAAGTGTCATAACCTTTATTAATTATGGCATCCAAGGTGTGTATGAAACACAAATTAATGGCATGTTTAAGCTTTGGATCCCGTTTGCATGCTATTTGCTGATGTAGGATATCCTCTTCATTCTGGAAAGAAGTGACCAGTAGAGTGCTGCGGTGTTCAGTCCTGGGCCCAGTACTGTCCAACATCTTTATTAATGACTTGGATGAAGGTTTAGAGGGCATGCTTATCAAGTTTGCAGACAACATCAAATTGGGAGTATAGCTAATTGAATTCTGCTCCAGAGGACAGGAGCAGAATTCAAAATGATCTTAACAGATTAGAGAACTGATTGGCACAAACTAACAAAACAATTTTCAACAAGGACAAATGTAAGATACTACACTTAGTTAGAAAAAAAAAGTAATGCAAAGATATAGGATGGGTGATACCTGGCTGGACAACAGTCCATGTGAAAAAGATCTTGGAGTCTTCGTGGACAACAAGTTAGATATGAGCCAACAGTGTGATGCAGTAGCTAAAAAAGCCAATGCTTTGAGCTGCAAAAAAGGAGTATAGTGTCTAGAACAGTGGCTTCCAATCTATGGTCCGTGGACCACCAGTGGTCCACAAGAACAAAAATATGGTCTCCGGCCTCGCCATTTCTACACCATTGCCTCGAAACCGTGTGACAGTGAGAGCCACTGGTTTCATGAAAACCTCTTATAGTGCTGAGGCAACAGGGATGTTGGGAGGGGAGAGGCAGACTACCCACGAAAAATTACTACTACATTATTACTACATCACCTGTCGATTATTAAATATAATTTTCTATGGGCAAGCAGTTGGCAACTGTTGGATAGCATATGTTCTGTATCAGAAACTAGAGCTGATGTGGTCTATCCAATGCCATTTTCTGAATCAGCACCTCTTTTGGTACTAATGTTGGAGAGTGGTCCCTGATAAAAAAAAAAAGGTTGAGAACCACTTGTCTAGATCAAGTTCTGCCAACCTAGCAGTTTGAAAACATGCAAATGTGAGTAGATCAATAGGTACCGTTCTGGCGGGAAGGCAACAGTGCTCTATGCAGTCATGCTGGCACATGACCTTGGAGGTGTGTCTACAGACAACACCGGCTCTTCAACTTAGGAACGGAGATGAGCACCACCCCCCAGAGTTGGACACGACTGGACTTAATGGCAGGGGAAAACCTTTACCTTAAGGGTTAGGGTAAGGTTTAGGGTTTGGTTTAGGATAAGTATTTGGGTAAGGGGTTAAGCTTAGACTTACGGTATGGTTCAGGGTTAGGGTGTGAGGTGGACCTGGATGAGGATTGGGATGAAGTGTATGGAGATATAGCTCCACACTTTACAGAGAGACAATATGTACCAGACTTAATTATGAAGGTATGGTTCAGGGTTAGGGTTTCCCCATTAAAGAACTCTTACATTCCTTCTATTTTATCTGCCTCCAGCCTGGCTTACATTAGCTAAGTCTGTCTTGCACAAAAAGTGCTCCAGAAGGAGTGATGTGGCATCTCCGCAACACTCGGAGTTTTGGACCCAGCTATCATACTATTACCCCAAAACACCTGAAGGGCCAAAGTTTGCCCATGCCTGGCGTACATGATAGACTGAATGACAGCACTTCAATTGCCATGACTCAATGCTTGGGGGTGGTGAGAGTTGGAAGAATCCTAGAGTTGGAAGAGACTTTATGGGCTATCCAGTCCAACCCCCTGCCAAGAAGCAGGAAAATCGCATTCAAAGCACTCCTGGGCAGAGAGTTCCACTGCTGAACAGCTCTCAGTCAGGAAGTTCTTCCTAATGTCCAGATGGAACCTCCTTTCTTGTAGTTGCATTTTTCCAAGATCTGTCGCCTCCCTTGCCCAAGAGTGCGGGTGCCTCCTCAGACTACAACTCCCATGACTCCATAGCAATGAGCCAGGGGCAGTTCAAGCGGTGGGAACCGCATTAATTCTCCAGTGGAGACACGCGGGGGAGGAAGGGAGGAGGGAGAGAGGTAGGGAGGGAGGCGGGCAGGCGGGCGCGGGGTGGTGCTGCTGCTGCGCCTGGCCGCGCCAAGGCTGGCCTCCTTTGACATCCACCGGAAGCGTGGCAGCAACTCCCTCACTCCCACGGAGAGCCACCTCCACGCCCCACGCCGCCCGCCAGAAGAGGGCTGGCTTCCCCGGCTGTGGGGAGCTTCACACTCGCGCCTCTGGCACGGCCGGCACTTCCAGGAAGGTAAGGCTACAAAGTGGCGGGCGCAGAGCTGGGAAGTGTTTCTGTGGGAGAGAGAGAGGGGGCTCTGGGGAGGGCGTGCTTGGGGATATGTGTGTGGGAATGCCCCCCTGGCTCAGCCCCCTTCCCTCGCTCGCCAGGGAGGGCCTTTATGTAAGTTTTTGGACAAGTTAAGAGGGACGTTTCCCCTCCTTCGAGCACAAGAGCAGCACACCACCCACACCGCCAAAGTTGTGGCGTCGACTGGGAAAGAAAGGCACTCCACTAGGCCTTGCTGCTGCCGGCAGTTTGGGAATTCAAGTCTACCTGAGCAACCCCGCCCCATCCGAGGCAGAAGCGGGTGATTAAAGACCTGGGCTTCTGGCATTTCTTGTCCCCATGATGCAGCCTCACAGAGAGCTCTGGGAATCGTTGCCTTGTTCCTTTTCCCTCTGCTTTCCTATCTTTCCCAAACTCTCTAGTGCAGTGCTTCTCAACCTTCGTAATGCCACGACCCCTTAATACAGTTCCTCATGTTGTGGTGACCCCCAACCATAACATATTCGTTGCTACTTCACAACTGTAATTTTGCTACTGTTATGAATCGTCATGTAAATGTCTGAAATGCAGGATGTATTTTCATTCACTGGACCAAATTTGGCATAAATACCTGATATGCCCAAATTTGAATACTGGTTGGGTTGGAAGCATTGGTTTTGTCATTTGGGAGTTGTACTTGCTGGGATTTATAGTTCACCTACAATCACAGAGCATTCTGAACTCCACCAACAATGGAATTGAACTAATCTTGGCACACAGAACTCCCATGAACAGAAAATACTGGAAGGGTTTGATGGCCATTGACATTGAGTTTTGGAGTTGTAGTTCACCTACATCCAGAGAGCACTGAACCAAACTTGGCATGGATACTCAGTATGTCCAAGTGTGAATACTGGTGGTGTTTGGGGGAAATAGACTTTACCATTTGGGAGTTGTAGTTGCTGGGATTTATAGTTCACCTACAATCAAAGAGCATTCTGAACTCCACCAACAATGGAATTGAACCAATCTTGGCACAGAAAACTCCCATGAACAGAAAATACTGGAAGGGTTTGATGGGCATTGAGCTTGAGTTTTGGAGTTGTAATTCACCTATATCCAGAGAGCACTGTGGACTAAAACAATGATGGTTCTGGACCAAACTTGGCATGGATACTCAGTATGTCCAAATGTGAACACTGGTGGAGTTTGGGGAAAACAGACCTTGACATTTGGGAGTTGTAGTTGCTGGGATTTATAGTTCACCTACAATCAAAGAACATTATGAACCCCACCAACGATAGAACTGGGCCAAACTTCCCACACAGAACCCCCATGACCAACAGAAAATACTGTGTTTTCTGATTGTCTTTGGTGACCCCTCTGACACCCCCTTGCGACCCCCCAGGGTTCCCGACCCCCAGGTTGAGAAACACTGCTCCACTGCAGCTCATAGAAGCCCTGATCATTTCCTCAGGCAGGTGAGGTTTCTGGGAGTTGCGGGTCCCAAACACATGGAGAACTAGAGTTTGGGATCACGGCTCAGGGCAGGCATGGACAAACTTCGGCCTTCCCAATGTTTTGGTTCTAGAAAATGGCATTCATAACCATTTGGAGATCATAACTTTTTGGAAAAGCTGTGGTCTTTCAGAGAAGAGCCAAAAACCCATCTGAGTATAATCTTCTCAAGTGGTACACAACCAGAATTTTTTTATCATGTCAGAAGGGACTTGAGAACACACTGCAAGTTGCTTCTGGTGTGAGGCAATTGGCCTTCTACAGAGACATTGCTCAGGGGACTCCTGGATGTGTTACCGTCCTGCTGGGAGGCTCCTCTCATGACAGATGGGAGCTCACACCATCTCACAGATTCAAACCGGCAATCTTCAGGTCAGCAACTCAAGCTTCAGGTCAGCAGTCCAGCCAACACAAGGGTTTAACCCAGTGGTTCTCAACCTATGGGTTCCCAGGTGTTTTGGCCTAGAGCTTCCAGAAATCCCAGCCAGTTTACCAGTTGTTAGGACTTCTGGGAATTGAAGGCCAAAACATCTGGGGACCCACAGGTTGAGAACCACTGGTTTAACCCATTCTGCCACAACCAGATATAGTTATGCAAGTCAATTTGGCTTTCAGTTGTTATTAATAACCTGTTGTTAATCGGAAATGGAATATGCCAGTGCAAGTGTTTTTCAGTTGCCCCAAAATTCATCTACTCTCCCATAAAACAATTTTTTATATAATGCACTCAAGAGACAAAATTGAAGTAGATTTTGTTAAAAATAACATAACCACATGAAGTTGTGGTTTACTCACAACTTAATGTGTTCAGCATACACAGGTATACAACTTACAAGTCCAGTTGCAGGTATGTTTGAGATAGTTGCTCTGGGCACATGGCATGTTTCTTACAATCAACAGCAGGCAAATGTTGGTCTGAATATTTCCAAAGTCTAATGGAGTCTGTGCTCTGTGTTCATCTCAGAGCCTAATCAAGTGGTCTGCAGCCTCTCCCACAACTTCTCAAGAAAAACATAGAGCAAGGAAAGAAAGCTGCATATAGAATCATATAGTTGAAAGATGACTCGTGGGTCATCCAGTCAAATCTCCTGCCACGAAGCAGGAAAATCACGTTCAAAGTACTCCCAACAAATGGCCATCCAGCCTCTGTTTAAAAGCCTCTAAAGAAGGAGCCTCCACCACATTCTGGGGCAGAGAGTTCCACTTCTGAACAGCTCTCACAGTTAGGAAGTTCTTCCTAATGTTCAGGTGGAATCTCCTTTCCTGTAGTTTGAAGTCATTCTTCCATGTCCTAGTCTCCAGGGCAGTAGAAAACAAGCTTGCTCCCTCCTCCCTATGACTTCCCCTCACAAATTTATATCAGAACATATGTACAATAAGTAAGCAACAGGATTATATACAAGCAAATTACTAGAGGAGGTTCGAAGAAGGTTGTAATTTCCAACATTTCAATTCCCACAATTCCTAACAGCCCATAAGCTGGGAGTTGAAGTCCAAAACACCTGGACTTCATGCCTCCCGGTATTTGGGACTTCGACTCCTAGAATTCCTGAACCTTGGACAAGCTGGCCAGAGCTTCTTGGAACTGAAGTCCAAAACATTGAGGACTAGAGTTTGGGAATCGCTGTTCAGGCTGACAATCAGAATACAGATATATAGTCAAACACACAAGGGGAAAAATACCTTTGGTCTTCAGCCTTGTTTTTGGTAAAACATACCAAAACAAGGCTTTCCCAAGGTTGTGCCTCAAGAAACCAGTTTGTTTTTGAACAACAGTGGCCCTGTCTACACTGAGCATTTAGCTGGCTATGAAGTGTGGCAACCAGACAACAAACAGTCACGAAAGTGTGTGAAAGAAAGTCCTTAATGTGCAGCAGCACTTTGTGGTTTGGGTAATCGCCATCCAGGCCTCAAATTGGTTCCCTGTGTAATCATCTGTACAGCGAAAGTGCTTTCTTCAAGACCCTAGAATCAGTAGAATCATAGAGTAATAGAGTTGGACGAGACCACATGGGCCATCTAGTCCAACCTCCTGCCATGCAGGAAAAGCACAATCAGAGTTTGAAACTGCACTGAATGGTCAGTGTGGATGTACCCAGTGTTTATGAAGAACAAGAACTTATGTATTCACATTACAGAAATATAGCAGTGTGATTTCACTTTGACTGCTGTGAACTGACATAAATTTCAGAGTTGTGTCACATTAAAAACTAGAGTATCCAGTCTGATGATGGCCTTGTTTCTGGTTCATTGTGCCTCTGTCTGGATGAACTTCACTCCAACTGGTGTCACTCAGAATTGGACTATATGCCATCCTTATCAACTAGCATGGCTTATTGCTGGTTGAAAAGGGTGTGAGGTGGATGAGGATTGGGATGAAGTGTATGGAGATAGAGCTCCACACTTTACAGAGAGACAATATGTACTAGACTTAGTTATGAAGGTCAGGGAGCTTTGCAGAAGAAACAAAATTGAACTAGAAAAATCACTTGATGCAAGAAGAAATGAGGATGCAGCATTAGAGAAGGGAGGTGAAGAAGGCAAAGGGACAGGAGCTAGAGATGAAGGAGAAAAAAAATAGAAGGAAAAAAGAAAATTGATTGTGAACATTTTTTGAATGAGGAATATGGAGAAATTGACTATGATTTATAGGGATAAAATTTGAACTTGCTGGGGAAAAGGGGTAAGCATTTTAGAATAGGGTCCATAATTTGGTCGGGATTAGAATTTTTTGCTTGTAATTTTTAGATGATGATTCTTGTGCTAGACCATAGAATCATAGAATCAAAGAATCAAAGAGTTGGAAGAGACCTCATGGGCCATCCAGTCCAACCCCCTGCCAAGAAGCAGGAATATTGCATTCAAAGCACCCCTGACAGATGGCCATCCAGCCCCTGTTTAAAAGCTTCCAAAGAAGGAGCCTCCACCACACTCCGGGGCAAAGAGTTCCACTGCTGAACAACTCTCACAGTCAGGAAGTTCTTCCTCATGTTCAGATGGAGTCTCCTTTCTTGTAGTTTGAAGCCATTGTTCTGCATCATAGTCTCCAGGGAAGCAGAGAACAAGCTTGCTCCCTCCTCCCTGTGGCTTCCTCTCACATATTTATACATGGCTATCATATCTCCTCTCAGCCTTCTCTTCTTCAGGCTAAACATGCCCAGCTACTTAAGCCACTCCTCATAGGGCTTGTTCTCCAGACCCTTGATCATTTTAGTCACCCTCCTCTGGACACATTCCAGCTTGTCAATATCTCTCTTGAATTGCGGTGCCCAGAATTGGACACAATATTCCAGGTGTGGTCTAACCAAAGCGGAATAGAGGGGTAGCATTACTTCCCTAGATCTAGACACTATGCTCCTATTGATGCAGGCCAAAGCAGTGCTTCCCAACCTTTTTTTAACCAGAGACCACTATGACCAGGGTCCACTCTCCAACATTAATACCAAAAGGGTTACAAATTGGTTTTT